TCCTTTGGAGCCATTTAGGGATTTGCTTCGAGTGTCAACCATGTTTTAAGAGAAAGATGGGTTCTAACAGATAGCTTCCCACAGACGACGCCAATGATCAGGCCAAATACACTATGGACTGGCCAATATGTACTGAGCCTAATCACACACGGTTTAGTTGTGAGTGTAGTTCTTCGATCTGGGCTTGGAGTTACGTAGTGGAGGGGCCTGCAAAGACATTCCGATGCTTAAGTCAATATCAGAGGCATGAGTTTTATGTTGTTAATGTAAAAGATGATCGTACCTTGGTGGTATATCGTTTTCTTATATAGTAGTTACGATGCTGCCTTAGTTAAGGCGGCTTGGCTTCTGAGTGGCCAGGCTTGGGCTGCAGGTCAGTCAGGGGACCTGAGTAGCCTTATCTGCTATAGTGTCTAGTGGTAGAGTCGTGGCGAGCTGGAGCTGTCCGTTGTTTATTGGAATCAAGGCGCGGTGGGGTTGCCTTGGGCCTTAAGTTTACTTCCTAAAGGGGGTTTCATACGCGATGTGGGTATCGCGTCTTGTCTGTCGCGATGAGGGCATCGCGTCTTGCGCGTTGTACTTGTCCTTTGCGCTTTGCTTTGGGACCTTAATGGGTTTGGGCTTCCTTATGTGTCGATGGGCTCTGATTGGGCCTATTTTATCCAGATCAAGTTCCTTTTCGCAACTCCCTCTCTCTATTCTTCTCTATTCTCTTCTTTTGTTTTCTAACTCATAGAATTTTTCACAGCTTTCCTTTAGAACTTGCTCACTATCCTCCTCTTTGAGTTCTGTCCTCTTGGTATTTATAGAGCGATCCTTGGAGATTTCTTCACACGAGGGTTTCCTGCGTCTCCTCCTTGATCAAATCATACACGCTTTTTGATTCAACAGTGCGACCCTCCTTACTGCAGAGAGTAAACCTCTTTTTTTTTGTATCTTGGGCGGTGCCTTGTATGGGCAGATGACTTTGCTTCTTGTAGAGACTTTGAGCGGTGGCCTTGTTTGTCTTGTAGCATTTATTAATTTTTGTTCTTTTTTTTGTTTATAATTTTTTCTATTTTTTAATAAAAATAATTATGTAAAACAAAGCAAGATTTAAACAGTCTCCCCTTTTAATCTTTTTTCGTTTACAACTAAAAATATAAAACAAACTTAGATAAAAATAATTAAGAAGCCAGATAAAACTAGAAACATTTTTGAATAGATTTCATAATTTTAAAACAAACAATTGTTGTTGTACACATCTTTAAAAATTAAAAATAAAAATATATCCTGACAAAATAAGGTGTTCACAATTTTATTTTTTATTTTTCCTTTTTAATTTTGTATATTTTTTTATGTGTGAGGACAAAATTGAGTGGTTACAAAACCGTAGCAAGTAAATAACAATATTCACTAATGCTGAATTCAACTACATCTTAGGAGACATGAATCAGAAAACGCAACATAAGTAGGGGAGAATCTTAAAGTATTTGTGAATTACATTTTTGGTAAGTTTTAAAATGTCAAAAGAAAAAGTAAGTTTTAGATAATTTTTTAAGAAAAAATATAATACATAAAAGTAATTTATATCATAAAAATTTACTCATCATTCCAAAATAAAAATTTTAAACATTATCTTACCTCATCATCTCCAAGGCTTTTTCTCGAAGGATCGTGTATATATCTTTTCTTGGTGACTCTTGTTTAATCGAAAGGAATTTCAATGATACGTTCATGCATTTGAGAACACGATCATCACAAACCTTTTAATAAAATAAAAGTATTATTCATATGCTGATTTTATATATAATATATATTTATAATATTTTTGAAAACAATGCCCTATAGATCTTACTTTTAACCTTGTGGTTATAATTTGAAGATATGAAGTTTGAGAATACAAGAAAAAAAAATTGTGAGTACAAGAAATAAAATATAAACATGTTTAAAAAACCAATACTCCCCGTTTAGCTCTTTCCTTAAGTTGTGAATTCTATAGCCATTTTGAATTCTCACATAAAAAAATATTTAACAAATAAAAAGTTCAATTAAATTTATAATACCTTTAAGTTTTGGAAATGAGTAGCCATTGTAGAACTGAGTTAAAGGATATCCATAAAATAATATGGGTTGAGTAAAATTTTAATAGGACTTGATAATTGTAAAACGTCGCATATCACCTTGATCACAATGGCGAAAGTTCTCCTCTCATAACCTAAACCAACTGATCAAAGGCAGGGTAAAAACGTAGGTTGGGAAGCCTTCCAGAACAAATACGTTGAAGACCGGGGGTGTTGGAGTGGATAACGATTGGTAGAAGCTAATGAATAACTATGGTTTGCAAGTATCTAACACCGCGGATCTTGCTAGGATGGCAAGATCAAGAATACCGTTGATGAATGTGAGTAGCCCGGTGCTGAAGTTTTTGTCTTATCAGGTTCTTGGTGTGGATTTTGAGAAGACCAAGAATGCTACTTTTGTGGAGGTTAGATTTGCAAATATTGGAGGTCTTTGACCCCCACTACATATATTTGTAGCATTCTTAAAGCACGTCAGTTTTGCATGCGCCGCAATATGATTACTGGTGTTTTGTGCTTAATTTGGTAGGAAAAGATGTTATCACAATGCATATATCTATTTAATATGAAATCAGCATATACATTTGGTTCATTACATGGTCAATCATACAAATGCAGTAGAAATATGAATACAAAAAAAAAATATACATTCTCCTTTAAAGACAGAAATGGTATCATTTATTCTCAAAGGAAGTTGGGCCACACTTTGATTGCTCCTGGTCTTATATCCTCAAAATGATATCTGAAAATAAATGTCAACAAAGAATAAATAAAGTAATAAGAAACACTATTAATTAACTATATTGTCGTGACTAAGATATATATTTATTACAACAAATTGTATTTCACCTGTTTTCGGTAAGGAAACTCCTCACAGCTAATGGAAGAACAGGTTTGCCTCGACTGTGTTTGCCAACACCTGAATAAAGAAGACAATTGAAAAATCAAAGGAAAACAGTAGGAAAAAAAAATTTATGCAAGGAAACCCTGAAAATATATCCATTTAGAAACAAATTTTTTATCATTGTATTAAATCAAACTACATTTTGTTTAGAGAAAGAACCTAAGTTTTTTATATTTTAAAAATAATAATAATACCTGTTATGACTTCAACGGTTGGCCCATGCCCAACTTGTTTTGCATGGATTGAATCAACAAACTCATTTTCCTTATTATTTTTATTTGAAGGAAAATGTGTTCTTGACAAGCCCTTACTTTCGATTTTCTCCAAACGCTCACGCAATGCTTGTACAGCTTCTTTTGCATGGAGACCATGCAAATCCAATCTCCATAAGCCATTTGTACGATTTTTAAAATTTAAAATTTCTGTAGCTGCCTTACAGTCAAGCTCACGAGCCATCTTTAATTTTTCTCTTGCCTTCATGGAATGTTGTTTTGCATTTAAATGCTCACCTCTTAGGTAAGCTTCGTTAGCAGACTTAAACTGTTGAGAAGCTGACCTGAAAAGATAAAATAAATCAAGATATCAAAAGAATGTTGTAACATTTCTTGTTATTACAATTAATAAGTTTGATTTGCGAAAATAATAATCATTGATTGACGGAAATCGACAGTTAAGATATGGTTGTAAAAGGTTGTAGACAAAAATAGGGTGTAAGTATAATTTTTCCCATAAAAAAATAACAAAGAAATACAATGAAATTAATAAAAAAGTAAAACCAAATATAATTTTCTCAATCAGTAAAACATAACGGGGAAGGATATACTTACTACCAAAAAGTTTACAACATTTACAACTAACTTAATCACCATTGACTTTTGTCAATCTAATAGTTATAATTTATCAGAAAATATTAGGTCGTATTTATTAATTCACAATAAATTATAACCGTTAGATTGAAGGAAATCAATGATGATTACGTTGGTTGTAAAGGTGGTAAAATTTTTTGGTGGGAAGTATATCCTGCCCCAAACATTAATATAATTTTTAACAAACATTCAAAATTACTAAACACCACCTTTTCACATATCTAATGTGTTGAAAATTTTTGGAATTTTTTTTTTTTTTGGAGTTACCCAACCCTAATTATCTCTTTGAGACGAGTTGGCTCCCTCCGGTATCCCCACGAGCTTCGACTCTTTGAGTTGGCTCCCTCCGGTATCCCCACTAGCTCAATATTTAGCCTATTTTTTTTTTTTTTGGTAAGCATATTTAGCCTAATTTAACCTGATTCATTTATTACACAAGTCATCAGAAAAACAAATTACAGTATTTACCTTACATGTTCTTTTCAAATGTATGTTCAAGTAAGTATAATTAAAATCCTTATTTTTTTTCTTACAAAGAAAGGTATTATTTACTTATCACATACTTAGATAGAGATGTCCCATTTTAAAGGGTTTGGTCATTGACTTATTTATCAAAATAATTAAAATTATAACAATTATGTTATTTATGTAAAGAAAATTTACTAAAATGTCAGAATAAAATGTAAGCTTTACATAATTCTTTTGACAAAAATTAAAATTAAATTTGATTCATAAAAGTTTGCTCATCATTTCAAAATAAAAGTATTAAATATTATCTTACCTCATCATCTCCAAGGCTTCTTTTCGATGGATCATGTATATATCTTTCTTCTGTGACTCTTGTTTATTCGAATGAGATTTCAATGGTACATTAATGCATTTCAGAACACGATCATCACAAACCTTTTAATTAAAAAAAACAAAATTCGGTTTAGCTCTTTCCTTAATTTGTGAATTCAATAGAGATTATGAACGCTCAAATAGAAATATTTAACATACAAAAAGTTCAATTAAATTTATAATACCTTTAAGTTTTGGAAATGAGTAAGCAATGTAGAACTGACTTCAGAGATATCCATGATCCAGTGTGGCTTATATTTTGATAGGACTTAGAATTGTAAAATGTCAAAAAACCTTGTTCACGTATTAAAAATCAGGATTGCTAATTGGCTTCACGATCTTCTCTCATAACCTAAACCAATTCATCAAAGCCAAAGTCAAAACAAAGTTTGGGAAGTCTTCAAGAATGAATCTTCTGTTTTCTTGAACTATACAAGGGTTACTGGTGATTGGCGGGACAGTTTGGTGAAAGAAAGATAAAGAAAAGACTACAGATTAAAGAGAGAGAAAGATTTGAAATAAAATGTCAAAAAAACCTTGTTCACGTATTCAAAATCAGGATGCTTATTGGCTTCACGATCTTCTCTCATAACCTAAACCGATTCATCAATGCCAAAGTCAAAACAAAGTTTGGGAAGTCTTCAAGAATTAATCTTTTCTTTTCTTGAACTATACTAGGGTTACATGTGGTTGGCGGGACTGTTTGCATGGTGAAAGAAAGATAAAGAAAAGCTTACAGATTAAAGAGAGAGAGAGAACGATTTGAAATAAAATCAGGATGCTATTTGGCTTCACGATCTTCTCTCATAACCTAAACCGATTCATCAAAGCCAAAGTCAGGAAGTCTTCAAGAATTAATCTTTTCTTTTCTTGAACTATTACAAGGGTTACTTGTGCTTGGCGGGACGGTTTGTTGAAAGAAAGATAAAGAAAAGCTTACAGATTAAAGAGAGAGAGAGAAAGATTTGAATGAAGAAAGAAACGACCTCTTACACACTTATTTTCCATGTCCGCTCATTAAACCCCTATCATATTACACCTTCCCTTGCCACATCAGTTAAGCTCATGAGCCAGCTGTAATTTTTGTTTTTTTTTGCTATTGCTCACCTCTTATGTAATCTTGATTGGCATTACTAAATATTTTAACATTATTACTCAGTAGATTTCAATAAACTAAAAGTGGTTGTTTTGACATTATAAATTTATTAAAGGTTAGTTTGAGTTTAATTTCATTATAAATCTTAGCAAGTAAATAACACTACTAACTAATGTTGAATTAACCTACAAATTAGGAGGCATGCATCAGAAAATTCAACATAATTGGGGGAGCATCTCAAAGTATTTGAGAATTACATTTTGTTTATAATTAATTCAAGTTAACCCCCATCACAGCATTTAGTGGCGGACCCAAAAAATGTTGTTTATGTCGGCACACTTAATGACGTTGGTTTGGAGAAATTTTTTTTTAAAGAAAATTTTAAATGCATTAAGGGATAAGATATTGTAACAACCAAGTAGTGTTACTATCAATCAATTTCACCGTTAGACCGGTTATGCAATTCCAACGGTAATATTTATTTCCATCTTTGTATGGTTATAATTCCCCATATTTAATACTTTATATTTATTTTCACCTTTGTATGATTATGATTTTCCATATTTAATGCTTTCACTTTAAATATGGGGGGTCATAACTATACAAAGATGAAAATAAATATAACCGTTAGATCAACATAATCGATCCAACGGTAAAATTGATTGGTAGTAATATTGATAGTAACACTACTTGATTGTTACAATATATTTTCCCATGCAGGGATTAAAAAACAAAAAATTATAAATAAGAAAAAAAAACTTCACCTTAACATAAAAAAATATTCCAACACTTTTTTTTAATCAAACTGATTTGTTATATGACATCATAAAATGTACAATAAAACATATGACATCTCATTCCATCCTATCGTATTCCATTCATTTTCATTTCATCTCTCGTTGTATAACAAAGCCTAATATAACCAACATCACATTTTACTACTATACTCAAAAAAATAAATAAATTAGAACTTCATGTTTGCAACTGCGGACAGAAGTGACCATCTAGTTCCGCCATTGATAGCATTAGTCAAATATTACCTTCAATTTGACAAACAGATGAGTAAACACATGTATCTCTTTAAAAGTAGATAGTACAAATTTTAAAAAATAAAATAAAATACAAAATATGACTCAAAAGTGAGAAGTACTAGTAAATAAATGGCTGGTTACCGAATATAATAAAAGTAAATTTGATTCAATCTATTATCCAATCAAATATTATTAAATTATTATATTATTAAAAAAAATTAAATTATTTTAAAATCTCTATTGTTAATATCTAATTACGCAATAGATGTTATGAAAATACATATTTGGCCAATATGATAGTGTCATATCATGACTTTGTATATATTTGTAATTTTAAGATATTTTTATTCAGTCCTAAAGCCATTGACAAAACTATCTAGCTCATTTTTTGCCTAATTTAACCTAATTCATTTATTATACAAATCATTAGAAAAACATATTACAGACTTTTGTGACGTAGTTTATTTATGTTACATTTTTTTTTAAATTGATGATGATAATATTGTGGTTAAAATTTGTTGATTTTATCAATTTTTACCTCCCAATTTTGTCATCTATATAGAAGACAATAATATTTTATTTTAAAATCTGTTCAGCTGTTCTGCTTTTTCTTAGTGTGTGCTACTTAAAATTGTGTTCCTTTCATATATTTATTAGTCAATGTGTTGGTAGATTTGCCTTTCAATGTTCTGTTCTTTATGGATAATTTCTTTACATTTGAAATACACTGGCTGAATCTATAAAAATGGTAATAGACCTTTTTCATTTTCAGCATATACTTTGATTGAATACTGAAAAAAAAATAAGAATTCTTTTTGTATGAGATTCTTACATAGAAATTTATGAGGAAGTATGTGTGAAATGTGTGATGTTTTGAAATCTTTATATTTGTTTTTGTATTGTTTATCAGATTAGGAATGCGGGTGTTATTGCATTTTATTCTATATCTTTCCAATATTTTAAACTTCCTTATCTTTTCCTTCGCAAAGAACCAATAGATGAACAAGCAGTTGCAAATGAGAGTTAACGAGCAGAGTTTGGTTTTTATACCATTCAGCCACATGATCAATCTAGAAGATGCTTTCGTATGATTGGTGGGGTGCCACTACTGGAAAAGTCACGAATAGCAAGGGAAATTTGCGAGGGAAAACTTCCCTTGCACATTGCGACGGAATTTGCAAGGGAAAAACAATTGCGAGGGAAAATAGGCAAGATTTCCGTTACTACATTGCCGTCGCATAATCCCTTGCAGTTCGGTCGCAATTCCCTCGCAATTTGCAAGGGAAATCGAATCCCTCGCAAGAACCATAAATCTGTGACGAAAACAGCGAGGGAAAAAATTGACGACGGATGTTCCCTCGCAAAATTTAGGATCTGAAAATTGCAATTGAAAATTCACAATTTCCCTCACAAATTCCCTCGCAAATTGCGAAGGAATATATTCCCTCTCAAATTCCCTCGCAAATTGCGAGGGAATATATTCCCTCCCAAATTGCGAGGGAAAGAGAGAATATATTCCCTCTCAAAATTCAAGAATAATATAAAAATCAAATTTAAAAGGGACAAGGGCATAAATTGGTCGCCGCATCATGCGTATGAGAAAAAATCATTAAATATGTCGCCGCATCCTTTATGGCAGACATTGAGTGCATGTAGTGGCAGTAGTGCCTATGTCAGCTAGTCATAGGAAAGATAAGACTCTGTTGATATTTAAGGTGTGTAAAAATTGTTCAATAGTGAGAAACAGAAACAAATGTCTGAAAGATTCATGTTCCAACCACCCTCGTCGTCATCATTGTACAAATTAAATGAAGAGTGACACATGCTTCCGATCGATGCTACCAAAAAGGGCATTGGTCTTTGTAGTTTGGCTTTAACCACTTAATTAAAAGTCAAGTCCAGCCCAATAAAGAAAGCTAGGGTTCCCAATTCAAGATGTTCAACAGCCTTTTGAACGTGCGTGAATAGCATCAACCCTAAACCCTAACTTTGATCAATTCTAGGACTATGGTCCGCAGTTTAGCCCGTTGTAAAAAAATTAGTCTTGAGGTCCCTAACTTTGAATGTGTGTAAGTAGCATTTTGATGATAAGAGAGTATGGAAATCAGTCACGAGTAAAGAAAAGAGGGAGATAACCATTTTAGAAAATACGCTAATTTAATATAATAAAGAGCAATCTTTGATTATTCTTCGATATCTCCTTCATCTACCATCTGATCGTACTGGGATTTTTTTGACATATTCTTGACTCATTATTATTCATATCTAACGGCGGCTTTTATATTTATTTTTACCTTTGTATGATTATGATTCCTCATATTTAGTGTGAATATGAGGAATCATAACCATACATAGATGAAAATAAATATAACTGTTGGTTCAACATAATCGATCTAATTGATTGGTTAAGGGTCCAACTTGTGACTCCAACCCTCAGAGGAAAGGGGCTAGGGTTGACCCGGGTCAACCCGGGGGTTGGGTGGGGTTTTAAAACTTGCAAGAGAAATTTGGGAGGAAAAAATTCCCTTGCAAACTGCGACGGAATTTGCAAGGAAAAAATAATTGTGAGGGAAAATAGGCGAATTTTCCCTTGCTACAATAACGTCGCAGAATCCGTTGCAGTTAGGTCGCAATTCCATTGCAATTTGCGAGGGAAATTAAATCCCTTGCAAACATCATAAGTCTGTGACGAAAACTAGCGAGAGAAAATATTGGCGAAGGAAGTTCCCTCGCAAGATCTAGGACAAAAAATTACAACTGAAAAATTTATAATTTTCCTTGCATTTTCCCTCGCAATTTGCGAGGGAGTATATTCCCTTGCAAATTGTAAGGGAATATGTTCCATCGCAAAATTCAAAAATAACATATAAATCAAATTTATAAGGGACAATGGCATAAATTAGTCGCCGCCTTTGTGGCAGATATTGAGTGCGTGTAGTGACAATAGTGCCTAAGTCAGCTAATCATAGGAAAGATAGTGACAGTAGTGCCTATGTCAGATAATACTCTAAGCAAGTGTTGTCAGTTTGTCGATTGGAGCTCTTGAGAGGGATTCGTACAACTGCAAACAGAGGAAAAATATTGAGATGAAAAAATATTTTGTCCCTATTTAGGACGAACTTAGGGACAAAATATTTCCAATTTTTCGTAACCCGTCTCTAATTTTGTTCCTAATAGGGACGAAATATTGTTCGTCTCTAATTAGTATATGATTTATAAAATTCGTCCCTAAATCTGTCTCTAATAGGGACGGAAAATAATTCGTCTCTATTAGGGACATAATTTTTCCATCCCTAACAGAGACCGAAAGAACTTGTCCCTAATAGAGACAGATTTGAGGACGGAAAATAATCTATCCTAATTGGGACAGATTTACGAACTTAATTTTGTATTTAAATGTGAATGTTTATAAAATTGTAAAAACATGAACTTTTTGTTGGATTATCTAGATTGTATGGGTGTTAGTATGTGTGCGTGATGAACTTCCAACTTGCTATGCATTAGAATTCAAATTAAACAATGAATTGATATAAATATAACCAAAAGACACGAGAATTGTGATTAATAGTATTTTCTAAATAGGCATTTTTCAAAACTTGACTCAGTTCTATTTTACTCTATATAATAGGTCAAGTTTGGTTCGATGTAAGCCGAGCTGTATGCCTTTGATAGACTACCTAATTTATTTACACCCCATCAAAATCAAATATATCTCTCTCTCTTATATCTCTTTTCATCTTCGTCATCAAATCCTTTTTATCCTTCAAATCCAAAATCTTTCTATTTTGAGTCAACGATGACATGACGACTAGGACTTTCTCCTTAGTTATTGGACATAGTGTTTAAAATCTGACAACTTCATCTCCAATTTAATCAAATAAAATTTAATTTTAAATTATATTTACTATCTCTACTTCAATTGTAGATTGAATTAATTTTTATATTTAAATTCAAATTTTGAATTTTTATATTTGTATTGACAATTTTAGAATAATCAAATATGATAATATAGAGTTGATTTTATCCTCTCTTTTTTGTAACGATTGATTTTATCTTAAAAAAGTAAGTATAAATTGACAAACAGATAGTGCCAAATGCCAATCAATACATTAACTAATATATTATTAAATTCATAATTAATAGTGTATTATTAGGATAATAATTTGACATTTTATAACACTAATTATCTTTTATTTCTTTTTATATTTTCTATTCTTTCACACCATTATTTCATTTCCCCCCTTTACTTCCCGCTTTCGTCGTTTCACCTCCCGCCTCCCCCTTTCATCTAAATTTGGTAACCCTAATACTTCTGAATCTTTTCCTATTGTGCCATAATTTCTCTAAGCAATAGAAGAACTGATAGTATGGATTTTTACATCTCTTTCAAAAACACTGGAACAGTTGTAGGTGGCAAAAGCAAGATTGTCGTGCGAGTGACTGTGAGAGTGTGTTCACCTTGAATTGGGAAGAAGAGAAGAAGCATGAAGATCCATCACATTCCTAGCCTCCAAGACGATTATTCCTATTTATAATATTCTAATTTTGCATTTCCTAGTTTCGATTTTGGGCAATATCTGAATCTGGGTTATTTGCAGGATCGTGGACTGAGACTACAAAAGAAGTTGCAACAGTGGGTTATTTGAATGGGGTGTGGAAAATTAATGTTTTGCTAGTTAATTCAAACTTATTTTAAACCGTGATAATGTTTGTTTTCTGATGCACATATCTTGTTTAAATGGTATCTTTATTGACAATATAATTTATTGAAACTAAATCTAAATATTGTTGTAGGTTGGAATATCATCTGGAGCTGCAGCATCATCTGCCATTAAGATAGCAAAAAGACCAGAAATTTTGGAAAGCTTATTGTAGTAAGTTGCTTGTATCCTTACAAATTTGGTGAAAGTATTTAGAAATGTCTGTTGAGAACTTGCAATATAGTTCCATGGTTTTCATTGTTATCACATACCCTTCTGTTGTGATAACAATGTTTATTTTCAATGTGCTTTGAATATAATTTGAAGCTTGCAATAAATTAAAAGTTAAAAATAATTTCAAGAACTAAGTTAAATTTCACTATAAAATTTCGAGACAGTGATAGGTAAATTCCAAATATTGTTTGTTAGTTTGAGTGGCCACTGAAAGCATTTATAATTGGGACTATTATAGTGGGCTATTATAATTGGGCTATTATAATTTTGGTACTCTTTTTTCATTCAACTGGGCTATTATAATTTTCATGATGATTGCCTTTTATTTTTCTCTAAAATAATAGCGTGGTGCTTCAATTTTTGTTTGTATATATGATAATTGTTTGTACCATTTACAAATTTTTATTCAAAAAATTATCCCCGTAATTATATGGAAGGTATGAAACAAAAATTGTATATATTATATTCTGTCCCCGTAAGATAACTTGTATATATATAAAAAAAGTGGAAGATAACTTACTAATAAAAGATTATGAACATGCATTAATCGAATTCTTTTTAGTTGATAGTGATGATTTCATTAGCGTGTCTCTTGTATTGTTTTAAATTTGATCTTTTGTATCTCTGTTCCCTTTATAAAATTGGAGTATCAGTTGAAGGTCCTCAATTATGGTATGTTGTTTATATTATAAATTCATGTATATTATAATATAATATAATTATTATATTATATAATGTGCTCCCCAGTCCTCAATTAGATATTATTGAAACTGATTATTATTGTTATATATAATTAAACCCAGTCCTCAATTATATATAAATCATTAAATAATTATATATAATGGTCCACAAACAGATATGTTAGAAAAACAAAAATCCAAAAGTGAGTTTCTTTTAGCTTTCATCCATATTATATACTTTATCAAATAGAAATATTAAATAACAAATCATTTTACTTTATATTTTTAATACTTTTTATTATCAAGTCACGTGTTAGTTTTATGAATTAAGAGTGGAATTTGTTTATTTAATAAAACTAATATAAAATTTTGTTTTTAAAACTATTAATTCGTATACTACTAGTATCTTTTATTTTATAATATTCAAATACCTACATTATTATTATTCTTACTATTTAGGTATTTATCTCTATATTTTACGTTAATTTGAGTTTTGTCTTTATAAATTATTTAACACATAAACTTTTATTTATGTGAATTTGGGGCAGTTGGATCTTGTCAGCTAACTCAGCAAGCAGACTTTATGAAATAGCAAGCAAACATGATGAAACAAATGCAGGAACAACTCCGAATTTTAATGCAGGACAAGGAAGCCAACTGCAACAAGTCGAAGGGACCGGCGCCGGATGATGACCCTGATGATGATGATGACTTTGCTAGGACTTTAGAGGCATACTAGTTGTTATTTGTATGTCTTACTTATTTTAGGACTTCAGAGATATATCAGATATTTTTTATATGTTTTATTTTGTTTAGAACTTTAGATACATTTTAGTTGTAGATTTGATGGTTGTTGTTGTTCACTTTTGTTGATATACTATTTAATTTTAATTTAATTATTTATCCAGTATTTTTTTGAATTTTTGTTGCTCAATTTATGTTCATTTGGAATACTAGTTGTTTACAGGAAAATTAATAAAAGTTTAATACATTTTTTTATTTTAATTACAGAATTTGTGGCGGAAATTTTCGAAATTCCCTTGCAAAATTCGTAGCATTTTGCGAGGGAAAATCAAAATGTTCCCTTGCAAATTTTGCAAGGGAAATTTAATATTCTCCTTGCAAATTTTGCTACGGAAATTTGCGAGAAAAATTAAACTCGAAATTTTCGTCACAATCTCCGACGGAAAAACACTGTAGATAGGTCTGTTGTTTGCGAGGGAAATTTACTTTTTTGCAAGGGAATTTTTCCGTAGCAATTTGCGAGGGAATTGTCATATGACAAATTTCCCTTGCAAATTTATTTGCGACGAGGGTTTTAGCAAGGGACGGTGTTCCCTCGCAAATTCCGTCGCAGACAGTTTTTGCAAGGGAATTTGGTTGTTTTGCAAAGGAATTTTTCCCTTGCTGATTGTGAATTTTCTAGTAGTGTGCTTCTGGAGAGAACTATCAAAGAGGTCTGGCCTGTTGTGAAGCGAAATAAAGAGGGACTTGAAGAGGTTGCTACAAGACTTAATGAGGCATTGGAAAAGGAATAAACGGAAATTGCCAAGGCTGATGCTAGGGTGAAAGATGAATGTGGTAGGAACTAGGAAGGTTCTGTTCATGGAGTTCTTGTCGATCCTGCAATTATTTGAAGTGAATGGTATGTCCAGTTTTATTCTGTTTTCTTAAACTATTATCATGAAATTCTCGGCCCTTTATTGTTTCTGTTTGCAGGTAGTATGATGATTTATCTTTTTAGGTATCAGTCTAAAACAAGCATTACTTGATATGACCTTCAGTTTACTTACTAGGGGCGGAAGAAAAGTGTTTTTCATTGGGTCAAGTGTTCATGTACATTTCAGGTTGCAATACTAGAGCATGGTTCAATTGTTATGTTGCATACATGACTATCAGGATTTGAATTGAGCAGGAATATACCTCTCATTGTGGGGAGCATAGGAAGGATATAAGCATCCTACTGAACTTGCGGAATTTCCAGGATAGTGACAGCAAGCATATGTTCTAAAATGCCTTTTAAGCTTGCAAGAAACACATTGGGATAGAAGTATAGAACACCTATTCGCTCTGAGAAAAGACAAAAATTTGACTAGTGTCATTCATTCGAAGCTATTGATATGGATCTAGGATGTACATCCATCATTTGATATTTAGCTCTTGTATCCGAAGAGTGTAATTTGTCCTTAATTTGATAGGAAAAGATGTTATCACAATGCATATATCTATTTAATATGAAATTAGCATATACAATTGGATCATTACATGGTCAACTAATCATACAAATGCAGTAGGAATATGAATACAAAATATATATATACATTATTCTTTAAAGACAAAAATGATATCATTTATTCTCAATGAAAGTTGGGCCACAATTTGATTGCTCCTGGTCTTATATCCTCAAAAGAAACGATGTCTAAAGATAAATGTCAACAATGAAGAAATAAAGTAATAAGAAACACTATTAATTAACTATATTGCTGTGACTAAGATAAATATTTTTTACAACAGATTGTATTTCACCTATTTTCGGTAAGGAAACTCCTCACAGCTAATGGAAGAACAGGTTTGCCTCGATATAGTGTTTGCCAATACCTGACTAAAGAAGACAATTGAAAAATCATGGGAAAATTACAGCAGAACAAAAATTATAGGTAAGGAAATCCTGAAAAGATATTCATCTAGAAATAAATTTTTCAACATTGTATCAATTCAAACTACATTTTGTTTACATAAAGAACCTATGTTTTTTTTCTTTTTTTTAAAATAATAATAATAATAATATACCTGTTATGACTTCTATGGTTGGCCCATGCCCAACTTGTTTTGTATGGATTGAATCAACAAACTCATTTTCCTTATTATTTTTATTCGAAGGAAAATGTGTTCTTGAGAAGCCCTAATTTTTAATTTTCTCCAAACGCTCGCGCAATGCCTGTATAGCTTCTTTTGCATGGAGACCATGCAAATCCAATCTCCATATGCCATTTGTACGATTTTTAATATTTAAAATTGTTGTAGCTGCCTTACAGTTTTGCTCATGAGTCATCTCTAATTTTTCTCTTCCCTTCATGGAATGTTGTTTTGCATTTAAATGCTCACCTCTTAGGTAAGCTTCATTTGCATACTTAAACTGTTGAGAGGCTGACCTGAAAAAATAAATTATATCAAGATATCAAAAGTATATTTTAAAATTTTAAAAGTTGTTATTTTGACATTATTAATTTAATTACAGGTTAGTTTTAGTCTAAAATTCATTATTAACCTTAGCAAGTGAATAACAATATTAACTAATGCTTAACTCAACTACCAATTAGGAGGTGTCACACCCCGTATATATCCGGTAGTGTTATCATTACATCGTATTAAGCTACGCTTAATTAAAAATGCGGAATATTCTTTTTCTTTTTCAATTATGACGTCATTATCAAATACCAACTGGATTACTTAATCAATTTCATAAAATATCGCCTGAATGTAAATTGCAATAAGACATCTACTGAAATACCTCAATATATAAATAAAGTGAGTATCTAAGTCACGGCATTACATCACGTAATCCGGAAAATATCCTGATACATTAATACAACTCTAATTAAAACAAGACATAACAAGTCTACGTGGCATGGACAATCCCCATGCTCACCAAATCAACAGCGTCTCAACAAGATAATCCAAAATTATAAATGAAGCTAAAAGCATATAAGCAGCAAGCATATCCAGCATCCAAAAAGTCAGCATATAATATCATCAATATCTAACTAGTCCAACACACAGCAGATCACAATCTGATTTAGGACCAGCAAGTGTATCAACATACATAACTCAAAAGCATTAACATAAAACTACGTTCTCCTTTAATGATATTAAGGCTTCCAACAAAGCCACAAGCCCTTAATCACATGATTATGACTTAGTTCATTAATTACAGAAGTTCTAGGGTCCCCAAACCCCCACTTTTCCTCACATCACAACTACTGGTATGGATATTTTATTCGGATATGCAATATCTGGATATCTCATTGACCATATCCGGTTATACAATATCCGGATATCCAGATTCCAATATCCGGATATCCAATATCCGGATATCCAAATCCCATATCCGGATATCAAAATGACTTGCAGAAACTGCATTTTAATCACTTACTATTTTTATTAAACACGTTAATAATTTTTAGGCACATTAAGGGTCAATTATGGTTATTGCTTAACTTAAACATGCCAAACATAATTAATTACTTAATTTCCTTAATTAACGGTGCTTGCAGAAACAAGAACTCAGAAGAATGTTTCTCTCACTCTCACAAGGTGGACACCACAACACCTTTGGTGAGAAAATGGAGAAGAAAACAGTGACAAGTTCATAGGCACGTATCAAAAAATGCAACATAATTGGGGGGAGCATATCAAAGTATTTGAAAATTACATTTTTTTTATAATTAATTCAAGTTAATCCCTATCACAACATTAGTCAAATATTACCTTCAAATTGACAAACAGACAAGTAAACACATTTATCTCAAAAAAATAGGTAGATAGTATACATTTTAAAAAATAAAATAAAGTACAAAAGTACTGATAAATAAATGACCGGTTATTAATATAATAAAGTAAATTTAATTTCAATCTATTATCCAATCAAAATATGAAGTAATAAATGACTCAAAAGTGAAAAGTACTAGTAAATAAATCGCTGGTTACTAAATCTAATAAAGTAAATTTAATTTCAATCAATTATCCAATCAAACATTATTATAATATAAAATTATACTTATATAAAATTAATTTATATTTATAAAAATTTACTCATCATTTCAAAATAAAAGTATTCAACATAATAGCCATTGTGAATGCTGAAATAGAAATATTTAACAAACAAAAAGTTCAATTAAATTTATAATACCTTTTTTTTTGTATATAAAATTTATAATACCTTTAAGGGGGCCGTTTGGTACGCGGCATTTTGTAGGATTCCCGGGAAACTGAATTTTTCTAAATTTTAAATTTTCGGATATTATTGTAAACTGAATGTAAAAATCATATTTTTGAAAATCGAGATTCCCAGACAAAAAAAATTTCTTCAGTACCAAACGCCCGTTAACTTTTGGAAATGAGTAACCATTGTAGAATTGAGTTCAGAGATATCCATAATCCAATATGGGTTCTGTAATATTTTGATAGGACTTGAGAATTGTAAAATGGCAAAACAACCTAAAACAAAGATCAAAGCAAAGTCAAAACTTAGGTTGGGAAGCCTTCAACAACGAATCTTTTGTTTTCTTGGACTATACAAGGGTTACTGGACATTGGTTGGTGGGATGGTTTGGAGAAAGAAAGATAAAGAAAAGATTGTAGATTAAAGAGAGAGAAATTTGAATTAAGAAAGAAAGGTTCGATCGGAGAAGAACGGTGAGGGTGAGAATTTCGCGGGAAGCGGAGTAAGTAAGGAGATAGCAAAACAGTATTTTCAGTTTAGGAAGGGAAGCCAATTCGTTAGAGAATGAATGTCATTATCAAATGCTTTTACCTCAGTGAAGTCCTCCAACAAATGCCTTTATCTTTCTGGTGCGGTCGCTCTTTTGGCTTTAGCTTCGTGCCCAATCACAGCTCCACTCTTACTTCAAAAACTACTTCAAATCGTCTTTCGAC